TATAAGGAGGAGAAGGCCGGAGAGATCAGAAATTACATACACAAGAGCGCACTCAGTTCCGGTCGTAGTCCTCTCGAAGTACTAGAATCAGCGATTTCGGAAAGTGCGCTTGCTTACAGCCGAACCGAAGCAATCTTGAGGGATAGTCGTCCTTATGATGAGTTGTGGCATGCCTATGCAATGGGATATATAGCGATGCACTTCAATACCCGTCGATACTACCTTTCAGAAATAACATTGTAGAAATAGTTTCTCTCTTTCCATCATAGGACGTTGCTTCCCTCCCGTGATGAAAAGTGGGCACGAACCAAACACGCGCACCTAGATGACCAAATCCAGTGTTACCACCGCGTCCAAGTGACTAGATGTTTGATCTCGATACCGACCTCAAGACGCTTTGCTCCGTTGCAAACTCTTCTAACACAGCCCCTGCGAAAGGGATACTAACAGTGTGACAGCCTCGGATCCTCATACAACATCTTCTGAGCTGCGAGGTATGGAACAGTGAAGGTGTCGACTCCCGTAAAGCTAAGACAACCCCAAGTCTTCATCTTCCACGCCGTCTCTAGAAGGGTTGCAGATTACTTCGTTCTACGTCATAATCAAGCTTTTCATGTGTCCAGCTGAAGATTTCAATAAGGCATGGCAGCATGGCACATTGGTACATAGACGCCACGAAGCGGGGAATCTGTCTCCCCGTCTGACCAGCTAGAGTAGCTTCTTTCAAGGAGTGCCGGGACAGGCACGACAGGGTCCAAGACGAATCAAGGGACCAGCTTAGAAAGTGTCTTATAAAAGTGTCTCACAATGCCAAGTTCGCTTCCCCAGCTAAGTGACAGATGACGCCATCCCATAGGGCTCGAGATCTGCAGGATCTTCAAGGGATTTCAAGACTTGTTTCTTATGTGCGTACTTTGCGCTATGGGGTCTGGATAGACTGGAAGTGCCAGCAAAGACGGAGTCCAAGGAGAGTAAGAACCAAATCAGCCCTCAAGATATTTTCGCAGACTCAACCGAGTTCTGTTCCTCAAGTTGGCCATCGACGCCGGGGAGCAGTATTCGTGCTGACTATGATGAGTGTGGCCTGATGAAGATCAGCCTATCTATACGTCCAAGATCCTGCCTTTGCCCTTCATATCGACCTCCACCTACCTTAGCACCATGGGTAATGTTTGGTCTCATGTTCGTTTCTGCCCCATTATCATAGGCTAGTGAGACCTTAGTTTCGGCCGCTAAGGTAGCTCTATAGGGCCATCCCGCTGCATCCCTGCAGGGAAACAACAGTGCGAATGGCTAATCATTTGGAACTAATCATCCGAGGCGAACCCCGGACTAGACGCCACCAAACAGGTCAGAGGTAGTTCCAAAAATGGACACATCTCGATGAGACGAGCGTTATATCGGCTTTCAATCCATCAGATGTAAGGCTCAGTGACGAGTGCCAAGCTTCATGGTCAGCTCGGGATGCTGCAATGGCGTGCACATACCTTCAGCTACGGCTGCCTTGCTGATGTCCTGTGTCGCATAAGCTCGGGCAAACTCATGGAAGGGAAAAAGCTGCTGTAAGAAGCAAGAAAAGTATCAATATCGAAGTATATAAACCCAGGGCTTCACGGTCTGTGACAGCCATGATAGAATCAGCAACACAACAAAACATTTCTAGAGCATAGTCTCCCAGAGTCGATTCTTTCCAAATTCATCATGAGATACCAATCTCTCTTCGTCTCCTCCATCTCAGTGCAGGTCGCACTGGCGGCGCTCAATGAGCCCTGCTATGGCTCTGGTGGTAGAGCCGGTATGATGACTTCACCTTTGCCTGGATGAAAGACTTTTGACTGATATTTCTCTCAGGTGTCTGCGTAACTACAAGTTCGTGCTCTTCGAACGGAGGTACAACGATTGACGGCGCTTGTCCGGCCGATGCTTCCAACATCAAGTGCTGCACCAAAGCTTCCTGCGGAAGTGGGGGCAATTGTCGTTGGACAAGCGACTGTGCAGGAACATCTGCTTCCAATCAGTGTCCAGGACCAAGTGGCTTCAAATGCTGCTCCTCCACTGCTACCGGATTCGGTGTCTACGGCGACCCAACTGTTCCATCTGTCGGTGCCTGTAAGCAGGTTGCAGTCAGCGGCGCAAAGAAGATTGTCGCAGCATTTCCCGGGATGGTAAGGCAAATCTACTGCACTCGCGACTGCACATGCCCTGGCGACTCGGATCACTGCTGCGGCAAAGCGACAGACATGATGTGCTCTGATGCTGGTGGTGTGAGTCAAGCTCGCGTTGATTATTTGCCTCAACGTCGCGACTAATCCCTCTGCAGGTCCCCACTATCTCTGGCAAGGAGATTGCTGAGTGGGTTATGAACAACCGTGAGACGCTCGACCTCAAGTACGTTATTTGGGGTCAGAAGATCTGGAATCCTTCTCAAGACTCGGTCAAGTCTTGGTCCAGTTGGCGAAGTATGGATGATCGCGGTGACTTTACCGCGAATCACTGGTGAGTTTAGGTGCTGAAGGAAGACCCAGAAATCCGTGCTCATCAATTTGACAGGGACCATGTTCATGTGAGCTACAACTAGGTGCCAGGGGAATACTTCGCAACAGTATGTTCATGGGAGAATCTAAGAATCTGGAACAAGCTTGAAGAATCCCCCAGTGTAGTGATGGATGGAGAGTTGTGCCCTTTGCTCGGGTCACGTACCCTGTAGGTAGCCGTCGAGGCATAAGTCCTGGCCTTATTAGATTGACGTTATGCCTCGCGAGCCGCAATGTTTGGACTTGGGAGTGCAGAAAATCCTTCGGGATGATCCACCTCATTTTGAAAAAAGTATGTTGTGACAATTGAAGTGCCTAAGTCGAGAGAATTTCCTTCCCAACAGAGAAGGGGTTTTGCCCTGAACCAAACTAACAAAGGACAATTACCAGCCGCGGCATGACACGATATGCACCTGATATTTATCAGGGGTTCACCGGCTGTCATTCCACTTCAATCCGATAGGACCTCCGGAAATGATAATCTTTCTATGCGGGGAACCCACAAAAATCGCATTAGGAGATGCGGCCGGAACCAACATGCATGATTGTCCCTGGCCGAGGAGAGGGGTAACATGAGTCAAAGCATTCACAAAATTCTGATAAATCATTGCGATTAGATCTGTAGTATCGTGGTTGCTTCAATGTCTCTCATTCTTTGCCAAGCATATGATCTGTAATACAGGCTACAAACTCGTTTTCAAACATGTCAGCAGTAACCCAAGACCGTGGAACTTAATGAGATCAATCCCAATCCCGGCTGTGATGACGACACCCTCAAGCCAAAATCTGTTCTCTATAAGGTCGTTCGCCTGTGGGGAGAAGCTGCCGCAACTTTGGGGAGACCGTTCCAAGACATCAAAGGTTTGAAAGATGTTCTGGTCGAAGTAGGATTCAAAGACGTCCACATTCAAAGATTCAAATGGCTAAGTAATCCTTGGCCAAAAGATAAGAAACATTGTGAGATAGGGTACTGAAATTACGACAATTTTGCGGCTGGTCTGGAAGGCTTTGTCATGGCACCCTTCACAAGAGCACACAACTGGACACCCCAAGAGGTGACAGTGCTGTGTATGGAAGTGCGGAAGGCAATTAACAACCCGAATGTTCATTCCTACTCCTCCATGTAAGCTTACATGACCAAGCCCGGCTGACGCCGGACTACTGACGAGATCTAGTTGGTCGATCTACGCAAGAAAGCCGGAGGCAGCGACCCCGGATCATTGAGTCAGGGAAAAGTCTTGGCCTCAGATGTTGAATATCCGATATCATGGCAACACAATATTCCCCAAGAGGGTCGTTCAGTCCACGTAAGTCATGATCTAGCTGTGGATCCTTACGTTGCGACTTGACTTCGCCGAGATGCAGGGTCGAGAAGTCACTTCACTGATACACGCGTTGAGTTGCTGTAGATAATTGGTTGCTCAGCCTAGTTGGGACATGAAGAAGTACATTCAGGTTGTTCCCTACCGGTTCAAAGAATATATGGAAGGGTATTATGTTTGTCATTCATCGAAAGACGGGGTTCTTGAGATGTTTCTGAAATGTATGGACAGAAAAGTGCGTGGGGGCTAGAACGCTTCTCGACATGGGAACCATAGGCCCTTATTGTTTCTCATTGTTGTGAGGATGGATCAGCGATTCTTCTTATTTATCTATATCAAGGCGTGTGAAGTCTCTCCTTGCACCCAGACGCTCTCATAGTAAGCGGTTATGCGTTCTACTTACGGGGCATTTACGTGCCCCATATGGAAAGGGCCGCAGGGTGCCACTTAGCAGTATTGGCCCGCCTAATCCACACGAGGCACATGCCTAGGCATCATTTGCCCACTTTCCGCTCCAATATAATAGGTTTGCACGCGAGATGTAACCGGAATGAAAGAGTACTGGTAGTTTTCTTCATCAGGAAGTACAACCGCCATCTCCGGCATGGTCGCCGCAGACGTGCGTGAGTATCACATCGCAGGTGTGGGGTAGCCTACCATCCAACGATGGGTTTGCAAGTGATAGAACCAACAGAGACCGGTCACTGCGTTCAATCTGATGCAAAAGCTTGAAGAAGGCGGAAACGCAGCCGTACATAATTACGCATCTCCCAACTTCGCCTAGACGAACTGAGGAGAAACTTGTCATTTTACTGAACCTTTAGTTGTCGTGTACCATGTCCGACATTGACCAAACACGCAACGCTGGGCAAAGCCCAAAATCGGCTGCGTCCCGAGGCACTTCACCTCACAACGCAAACAATGTCACAACGCAAATCACGCCAGCACTAGACGCTGAAGAGGTAACAACACTATTTACCACCTTTGACTGGATTTCATTGCCTAACGAACTTGTCCATTGAAAAGCTCAGCGGAGATGACCTTTCTGTCAGAGGCGAGGTAAGTGCTAGTTCCTTCCTTCTTCCCTCTATCAACCGAATGGTGGAAAACCACGAGCCATTCTACTAAGAACTTCAAAATCTAGAGCGTCGCATCATCAAGCACCAGTGTGACCAGCTCCGTTCTCCAGTATCGGACAGAGAATGGGCGAACATACCATGGCTATAAAGATGGCAGTAGGTTATCTCTCCTCATTCTGAATGAGCAAAAGCTAAGTGTAGACAAGAATATCTCATGCCCAACGATGACAGGGAAAACGAACGATTGGGTATGGATGTCTTGCTTGCTTACGAATTTTCAACTCGCAATCATTAATAGTCTAACAGATATTCAACATAATATGTTCATCCTCACCTTCGACAACCAATTGGGACGTGCCCCAGTGAACGCGAAAAACACCAGTATCAAGGTCGGTCGGGTACTTGATGTTGGTACAGGGACCGGTATTTGGGCAATGGACTTTGCAGATGAACATCCAGAGTCAGAGGTAATTAGAAAAATTGCTAAACAAATATTTCAAATACTAACCTATTTCTATCTAAGGTCCTTGGTATTAACCTTTCACCCTATTAATATCCTTATTATAGGGTAATTAGTTCGAACTATAAGTTAACGAAGAGATTAATTAAACTATATAAATTTCTATATAGTATAAAAAGGAGGTTCTAACTATAAGTTAGGCTAGTTACGATAATTATAAATAGGGCCCCTTAATTAGCCCCTACGTAGTTAGCTATATACTATAATTAAATTAGATTTTTAATCTAATACTAACTTTCTTTTTTTTTTATTAATTTATTTATTATAATTAGAGGTATAATTTAATTTTAAGCCCGTTTATTAAGTTATCTCCTTTTCCCCTTTTTTTTTATTTTTGTTATATAACCTATCCCTCTATTTATATATTAACTTTTTTACTATTTATAAATTACTTTAACCCCTTATTAAGTACTATTTTTATAAAAGCGTTAGTAAAGTTATTATTATTATTAATTTAATAGATCTTAAGGATCTTATGCTTTTTATATAATTATTTAAGGGTTATAATATTAATTATAAGCCTTTTTTTTTATTCTTAATTTAACGAGGTATTTATATAGTAAATAGGAATTAGTATAAATAACTATAGGGATTAGTAAAAGGTTAAGTTAATTAATAATCCTCTTTAACGTTATTAAAATTATATAAGTAAAGTTAACGCTATTAATTATACTATAAATTTTTAATACTAATATACTTCTTATTACTTATTTACTTTTAGTTAATAAGTAGTAAATTATATTATTATATATAATAAATTCGCTCTTACTTATACTTTTATTAGTTAAGATAATAATATATTTTAATTATAAAATAAGGTTATTATTATTTATAAATAACTTATTAATAAAAACGTATAGCTTATTAATAATAAGGTTAATTAAATAATAAACGAGGCTTCGATCGAAATTTATTTATTACTACTTAAGCCGCTTATTAAGTACTTTAATATTTTATTTATTTAGCTTTATAACTTATACTACTTTAATATAATTAAAAATTATTTTAGGTTAATATATACTTATAATATATACCCCTCGTACGAGCTTAGCTTTATATTACTTTTTAATATCGATTATGTTTAGGTTAACGAGGTTAATTTTTTTACTCTACCTCTTTTATTAAAAAATAACGGTTTTCCCTTTAATTATAAAAATCCTATTATTAAATACTAATAAGTTATTTATTATAAGGACTTTTTTTAGCTTTGCTACGAAGCCCGCTTTTTAGAGCTCTTTATTTTCTTTTTTTATAAAATTAATATTAAATAAGCCTAATATATTATTAGTTTATATTTTAATAATTTTAAATTATTTATTTTTATATTTAAAGATTAATAAGTACGGGTCGTACGTAAATATAACTATTAATAATTAATTAATATAAAAATCGTAGTATATAGCTTATTAATAAGTACCCGATTTTATAAGTTTATATAGTAATTTAAGTACTTTAATAATCGTACTTTTTAAGTACTTATTAGCTATTTCTTTTAGTAAGTAGGCTAGGATTTTCCTTATAAGCCCTATAGTTAATTAAGTATAGGCTTAAGTAATATTATAGCTCTAAATTTTATATCCCTTCTTCTATAATAATACTATTAGTACTATTATTAATCGTTAGCTATAGTACTATACTATAAGTAATTAAGTAAGTAACGTCGCTTTTTTAACGTCGCTATACTCTTAAATTATATACCTAGATTCTTTATATAATTAGGATATTCCTTTTTTTTTAATTTTACGTACTATTTATAATTTAAATATATAGAGATTTTAATATTTCTTAGGGTCGTAGAGGATAAATTAATAAACCCTTCGATTATATAAAGTATTTATTTTAATAAAATCTAATCCTTTATATAGCTTTTTAATAATTATAATTATACTTTTTTTACGTAATTTAATTACTAGCTCGAAATCGGCTTTTTTTTATTATATAAAAAGTATTAATTACCTCGTTATTGGTAATAAATTATTACGTTAGGGCTTATTATCGTAATCTTTTATAACGTCTCGCTAGTAATATTAATACCTTTTTAATAATTTCCTCTTTTTTATTATTTATTAGTATTACTATAATAATTTTATTAAAGATAATTTCTTATACCTCTACTATAAGTTATATAGTTTCCCCTAGCTCCTTTTCTTTTTATAAATTAGAAATTATTTTAATAAGATTTATATAATATAGTTTAATTATAGTAATTAATATTCTAAGTAGTTAGTTATAGGGAATTGATATACGGGCGTCGCAAATTAATATACGGGCGTCGCTCTTATATAGGCGTTACTATTTTACTTTTTAATTAGTTTAAAAAAAAATTATTAATATAGTTAAATTTTACTAGATACTTATAAAGTATCCTAAGTTTTTATTCCTTTATTCCCTTTATAGTTAAGTTATATTATTAAGCTTCGAAATCTAATTTATAATATTTATTTATAATAGCTTTTATAATTAAAATTAAAAACGTTCTTTAAGGCTAACTTTAAAGTAATACCCTTACTAAGAGATTTCCCCCTTTATAAGAACGATTATTAATTAATTACGGCTTTTTATTATTATCTAGCTAATTATTATTATCTTTTTTTTTTAAAAAGTAGCTACCCTAGCGTTAGTTAATTTTATAAAATTAGTAATTTTAAAAAATAGCGTAATTTTATTATTAAGTTCTTAACTAGTATATTATAAAATACGTAATCTTTTATAAATAATTACCCTAATATAAAGCTTATATTATACTTTACTTACTATTTCCCTAAGGAAATAATAAAAACCTAGCGAATTACCTTTTTATAACTTTTTTTAAAATATAACCCCTCCCCTCTTAACGAATAGTCTTAGTAACCTTCCTATTTTATAATAGAGTAGTTTAGTAATACTCTTTAGCTTATTAAATAGGTTATTAAAACTAATTAATAATTAATAATAATACTATTTTAATAATAAGAATATATCCGTTAATAATAATAAATATAAGGTCCCTAAGTTAACTTATTACTCTATTTACCCCTATAGCTATTTTCTATTTAAAACGAAGCGTCTTTTTAAACTATAACTTCTTATTATACTTTAAATAACCGATCCTCCTCTCTTTTTATAACTAAAATCCTAAACTTACCGATTCTTAATAATCTAAAATAAACTTATAATACCCTCTTTAACTAAGTTAATAACTTTATAAGAGCTAATAAATTTAGTATTATAAAGTAGAATAAGTATAAAGCTCGAGGCCGAATTATTTAATATACTTTCTAATATAATTAGTTTAATAAGCCTAGGCTTATAAAAAGTACTAATATTTAATAGCATAAGTTTTATAAATACGGTTATAAATAATAAGTTATTACTAAGGCTTAAAAAAAAGATGAGTAGTTATTATATTATTATTTAAACCCTTAGTATAAATAATATAATTATAGCCCTAGCTTTAAAGCTTTTATATACCCTTTATATCGTAAGCTTATTAAGGTAATTAAAAATATTATTAAAATTATAAACTAACGAGTTAAGATTCGGGCTTACGATATGCGTATTATTATTTAAAAATAGTTCCTAAAGTCCTTATTTATATAATAAAATATTTATAATACTAGGGCTCGTATAAACTAAGAAAAACTAGCTAAATATTTACTAATTATAGTATTAATTAAGCTATTTAATAAGCGAGATATTCTATACGTAGTAAAATAAGTAAACGACGAGCTAAACTACCTTATTAACCTTATCTAGACCTTTCCTTACTATTTTTAAATATAAAAGCGATTCCCTAAGATAATTAGCTTTAATAATACTTATAATACTAATCGCTTTAAGCTCCTTTTTTTCTAAGTTACTAAGTAGACCTACTTTAAATCTATTTATAATACCGCGTTCGGCTTTATTAATAATAAAAAACTAGAGGGTTTTTAGTTTTTCTTAGTAAGTATCTACTAACTTATAAACTAATACTTAGTCTATTACCCTATTATTATTATTATAAACTACGATAAGTAAATAAAAGCTATACTAAACGAGTAGTTCTTAGATATTTAATAATAACTCTATATTTACTATATTAACTCTAATATTATACTTAGGGCTAAGTAAAAGTAAGTTAAGGACTATAACTATAGTAATAATAATAATAAGTCTAATAACGAGGGATATTAGCTACTAATATAAATAATAGCTACGCTAAGTAATAAGAATAAGGCCTATATTAATATACTTATTAATAAGCCCCCCCTTTATACGTATTATAAGGTCCTTATAATATAAAAACTTATTATTTTTGCTAAGACTAAGTATATTTTTAAAAAAGCCTAAACTAAGCTCTATAAAAAGTTTAATAACTAATACCTAATCCTCTAATACCTCTACGTAATATACTTATTTTTAAAAGCATAATAGGCCCGTTATTTTATCTAAAAATACTAAAACTTTAGTACTCGTATTATTTTTAGTACTAAGTTAAGTAATAATAATATTAAAACTTATTTTTTAAATAATCTTAGTTACTTATATTAGCTTATTAACGTTATATAAAATATAATTAATAATTAAGAGCTACGCTTTTACTAAGCTTATATAAAGGACGAGGTACTTATAGGCTGGGAGTATATAAGTACTTATTTTAAGTACCTAGGCAAACTTTAAATAATACTTTTTTTAAAATATTTTATTTTAATTAGGATATAAGGCCGGCTTATAAAAAAAGTAATACTATTTAATAAAAAGCTATTTCTAAACCCCCTTAGATCTTATAATTTAAACTATACTATTTTAATTAAGCTAAGTATTTTATACTATTATAAAATCTATTCTAAAATATTAAATTCAGCTACTTTTAATAAATAAGAAATATACCCTTAGTAACGTTTTCGAAAAACGTTTTTTTAAATCTATACTACTAGATCCTTAACCCTAAAATTACTATATCCCTCTATAATAGGCTAAAAAATATAATATAGCCTATTCTATTATAACTAGCCTTATTTAAAAAAGGCTAGTTAGCTAGTTAAGCCCGTACTACTTATAATAGCTAAAGTATAAATAATAAAAAGCGAG